TATGTATACTTTATTCTCTCATATCTAACGTTTCATTCGATCCTCAAAAGAGGGTCCCAGATTATCTGTTATTTGTGGGACAAATTTGGTGAAGAAGTATATAGCAAACTCATCACTAAACATAAAGAATCAAAGAATGAATTTCCTTTTGTGATTCGCTTATGCTTTGGAATAATTAGAGAGTGACAAGATATTTAGATTCATGAAGTAGAGTACAAGGAAGGTTGAGATGATGAAGGAAGTTCTTGCCTCCTAGGATTCCCAACCAAGAGAATGTGGCTTGTGCGAAGGAGAATTTGCAGAAGTTTTTTATCAAAGGAAAATGTGCGCTTAAAAAGCCGGATGCGATGACACTTTCCAAAAAACCGCCTGGAAACCGGCACTCAAGCACTCGAGTGGTGAAGTTGGTGGGGCGGGTTGGAAGTTGTGTCGGGCTGCAGGTACATGTCACATTAAGATTGCATTAAATGCAAAGCGGCGCTACGGATCACGAAAGAAAGATTCAAAATTCAAAAAAAGGTGACTCGTTACTCTTCTAAATCAAGTCCGATTTATTTTAGAAAGTAGGAGGGGCTCGTGATGGTACCATGGACCATAGTCATGGCCCAAGAACAAATTGGAACAAAACTCATTAGCGGGATCAGCCCATTAATCGGGATAAATAATAGCCACTGGGCCTAATTAGAATTCCGACCTGCGAAAGGAACCCACAACCAGGTCGGGCTGAGCAGCATACCTCGAGCCTGGGCGGATTTCTAACGAGGTCGGGCTCATCCAAGGGCTTACGTGGCAGGCTATCATTTGAGCGTAGCTATTTGGTAGCAGCAGGGAATAACAGAAGAAACGTGGACCTAGAGGGGACAATGATTGCACAACGTTCAAGACATTACACACTTATTATAATTAAACGCATTAAATGTATCAGTTTCCTCTTAGAATACTAGAACCTAAAGTCTATAAATAGTTCCTGGACACATCCTACTAAGGATCCGAATTTGGGAATAATAATATTGTCTTAAGCTGCTTAAACTTCATCTGCTCTCGTAGATTAGCTCTCACAGTTGGAATTAAACTCAATCATAAAAAATAATTAAAATATGAAAAATACATGTATGTCTTATACTAGAGTACACTATACATTTTACATGATTTATTTGAATAAATTGTGAATTTGGCAACGATATTTTTACCGTCGACTCATTTTGTTTTGTTTGAATATTTTATTTGATATTATAAATGCTAATGAACTATAAATTAATTTTTTGTGAGAGGTGAATATTCTTTCTAATAATTGAATTGATGCTAGACGTTTTCATGTCATCAGTCTTAATAAGATAAATTAGGTGTTAATTTATAATATTTTATTATTTTCTTTTCTATCTTTTTTTCCTTTACATTTTATTTAAACAATAAATACAAGAAGATGCAACGGACTACTATTTTAATTTTCTAATTCTAAAATATAGAACTATCCTAAATAAAATAATAAACATAAGAAACCAAATCAATTTGAACTAAATTGAACCTATTATTTTCACTTTGGTAAACCGAACCGAAATCAAACAGAAACCAAATCAAAACGCAAATGGTTTTAGTTTGGTACAATATTTCCCCCTGTCCCTTGCGGCAGTGGAAGTCAGCTAAATAATATATTGAAACATGTTGCACTTTATGTATATAAACAATATGCAGTATGTTTCAATAATTTATTTAACTAACATTTACAATCTCATAAACATGAGTCTGACATTTACACAACCTACGAGCATGAGACTTGCAAGGATGGATGGTGAGCTAAGTGGCCCCAATATCCAATCTCTTACGGACCATCACTCAATGATATATTGAGCGATATTATTGTTCCATTGGTATCTGATCATGTTGAATCTATTGTTGAGCATTTCTCATAACTTCTTAATTCAAAGTAATATGTAGGGGTGAGCATAAATCCCGAACCGAACCGGTACCGAACCGTCCCGTAATGACACCGAACTGAATACCGGGTATTTAAACGGTTCTATAGATTTTTATCCCGTACCGAAACCGTACCGTATGAAACGGGTACGGGAACGGTCCTAGATTTTGAGAACCGAAAAATACCGGACCGAACCGTTCGTAAATAATGCATTTGAATTTTTTATATTTTTCTATATCAATAGATCTAGACCAACAATTTTATACCACAAGTATGTATTCATGTGTCCCTAAGATATTTAAAATGTGTTGTTTATATATATATTGTTAGTTCTTCTTTTTAGATAATTTATGTTATATTTTGGTATGTATTGAAAGAATAATAAAACTTTAGAAATCATTAATGATTATTTATTTCTAGTAATATAGTGTACATGACTTTTTGTTGTATCATGTTTGTGCATTTTTTACAACTTAATTAATATGGTTTAAATCTTAGCTCTCAAGGTTCAACTATAAATTAAATTAGAACTACGGAGTAATATTTAACCTAGAACAACGAAGAAGAACGTTGAAGATTTCTATTATATTCAACAATTTGATGATATTCGATTTTATATTTTCACATGAACTTAGTAAATTAAAAATGATATTTATCTCGTGCGTCATCGTTTTGTTATACTTTTTCTTAGAGGTGTTGCACTATTTGTGTATTTGTGAATTTTAGTACTAGGTATGCAATTTTTTGTATTTATTTCAACATTTCATGTGAGTTGGTTGGTGTGATGATATCTACTAATTGTGAATTTATTCAAAAAATTTAGCATGTGTTTGGCATTGTACTGTACCGTTTTGTACCGTTCCGAAACGACATGGTACCGAACGGTTCTATCCTTGGAACCGGACCGTACCGGACCGTTAAAAATCTCACGGATACATTACGAGTTTTATCAATTTACCGGACCGTTCCGGACCGCGCCCACCCCTAGTAATATGACTTCGTATCTTTATTTCAAGTCTATTCTTGCTCAATATATGTGGTTGATGAGGTAAAGAATACATGTTACGTCTGATAGTTTCAGAGCTAAATATTCATATAAGCTTAGATTTAGCTTATCATTTAGCTCAGATAGTGACTTTCTACACGAGATGCATTCTTTTAGCTAAATATTCTGGATTATAAACAACATTAAATGTTCCAATTTGTAAAAAATCTATAGCTAAAGCTGAAAACTTATGAGGAATATAGATTATTCCACCGAATTGTACAATTGTACACCATTTGTGGTGATTATACTTCGAGCTCATACCATCACGGCTCAAATGATTCATGGAGAAAATGTCGGTAAAAAGTTTATTATTCTTAGATTCACTTTAGCACCATTAGACATTAGACTATGCAGATTTTCAGCACGCACAATTTCTATTAATTGTTAGGTTTGCAATGGCCATTAATAAGAGTCACAGACAATCGTTGAAAAAGGTTGTCGTCTTACTCTGACGCCCCTTCATTACTCACAAACATTTGTACGTGGCGGTGTGGAGAGTAACAAGTTCATGGGATTGGAGTTTGTAATGACGAAGATCGACAACCAACCAAATCAACATTGAATGTTGTTTACAAAGAAATATGTACTATAGAGTAATATATAATTTTCGTTATAGTGTGGTGGACTTACATGCATATTCATTTCATCGTGTGATGTTTTACATTTAGTTCTTACCATTTCTTCAGAATTTATTTAATGTTTTCAAATAATTCTAACACAATCATGTATTTTTAAATATATAATTATATCTAAATTATTATATGGGTGTCTCACTCCCGTGCAACGCACGGGTGGAGTAACTAGTTTTTCCTTTATAATATGTTTATTTATGCACACCTAATGATCGAGTAGTTGAATTGTTTAAATAATAATTGAACAAATCAATGCTATATACTCATAACTTACTCATAACTTATATGAGTAGTTGAGTTATTTGAGAAATTAAACAAATCAATACTTTATACTCATATACCTTATACTCATAACTTATATAATTATAAATTCAACATTTTATTATTTTAATACACATTGCACCCTTGCCGACTAGGCGACTAACAATTTTAAAAAAATCAAAGAAGTCCTCCGTAATCATAAGTAAAGGTTAAAAACTACGGATTCCCAAGCAATAATAAGTAAAAGCAAGTCCTCCGTTGAAGTGACGGTTCAACTTCAACTTAAATTAAGCAATTAAAATTTAATATAAAAGACAGAAGCCGATGGAAGGGTACTTTAAACCACGGAGTATTAAAAGTGTTTTCAACTTTTGGCAAACAGGCTTAGTAAACAGGCTTCACGCCAGACCAAGCCAAAAAAAAAGGCCTTTAACATGTAACAGGCTCAGGCCCATACATTCTAAAACAGACCCGACCTGTTTAGGCAAAAGTTTGGCCTAATCTGACTTGTTTCCACCCCTAGGGATAAACTTGATGGCACAAAAAAAGTAAAACGGAACAAACTTGATGACATAGACAAAAAAAGTAAAACGGGACAAAGTTAGAGGACCAAGGGATTAAGATTTATTAACTTAGGAATATAATTTATTTACGTTCGTATGATTTAAATTTAAATACACAAGTACAAGTATATAATATGAGATATTTAAAAATATGATTGAAATAAAATTTATTTACAAAATCATGGGTAAAATGCCTACAATGTCAAGGTCATTTCATGGTAAAAATTTAATACTACCTAAAATTTACGATGTATAATAATTAAGAATGTTTTCTTTTGAATTGAAATTATCTGGTCGGGTCTGATTGTAAATTTGTGAAAGTCTTGTATGATCTGGTCTGATCTGACATGTTTAAATCTGGTCAAATCTGATCTGATTTGATAGTGTCTAGTTTAAAATTTTGGGGCCAACCAGACGAAGCTAAGCCAGACCACATACTTATTTTTTTATGATTATTGAATGGTTTATTTTATGATTATGATTCTACCTTATTAATCATGACTAAATACAGTAACATTTTTATCAGGCCCCAGAACCCCATTTAAATACACGGCATATTATCTGGGAGAAAACAAAACACAAAAACACCCACAAAGTTACTTTTCCTCCCAATGATCCGCAATTGATTACTTTGTACTTTGTCGCATTATGCGCATTACCTGCCTGCCTTTCCACCCACACACCCAAGCCCCACCCTTATCATCTTATAGAAGCTGGTGAAAAAGATAACCAAAATTCAGAAAATACTCTGAAAGAAGAAGAGAGGCAGTGAGGTAAAATGGTAGAAGAAAGGGTGTTATCAATGGATGCAGTTATCAAAACAATGCAAGATTGGTCATTGGGGACTTTCCTAACTGCTGGACTTGTTATTGCTCTTGCTGCGATTTTACCCAAGCTTTTTAATGATCATAAAAAGAAATCTCCCAGTAATCTGCCCCCAGGTTAGTTTCCTTTTTCTTGCTTTCTTTTTGTGTGGACTGTTTAGATTTTACCCAAGTTTTTTCTTTTGCAGCTATACCAGGATTACCTGTGCTTGGGAATTTACTGCAGTTAAAAGAGAAAAAACCTCACAAGACTTTCCTAAATTGGGTTGAGGAATATGGACCAATCTATTCCATCAAAACAGGGGCTACCACCTTAGTTGTTCTCAACTCCACTCAGCTTGCAAAGGAGGTAATTTCATCTTGCTCTCTTGCTCCACTATGGTGAATCTTGTTCTTTGATTTCATTTCAATTATATTGTCTTTACTGACAATTACCTCAGGTTTGTTTGGAAAGCTAGAGGTGACTCGGAAAGAAAATATAGGCGAAATTTGGAATGAAAGAAAATGAGAAAGAACAGAAAAAATGGTTTAATCTGATTATCTCTTTTTGGTTCTTGCTTGAATTCAAATTATTTATTAACTTATATAAATATTAACCAATCTAAACATATGGTGGAGTACAAATATATTCAAAATATTTATCATTTGTTCATTGTCCTTCGCATTTCTTGTGATAAACCCAAATATTGCCAGAATGTTATGACGTATTGAAGATTTTGTCTAACCTGATAAGCAATCAAGTTTTTTCCTAATATTAAATGCCAAATTAGGAAAAAAATTGATTGTTTGAAATGACACTGTTGTAATATTGTTGTTTTATTGAATTGGAATAAGGTTATTAATTAATGTAAAAAAGGTGAGATTTCATGCATCATGAATGATTCATGATGGTACAAAATGGCCATTTTACCCCCCCCCCCCCCCCCCCCCTCCAATGGCTAAATTCTAGCCATTTAGCACTACTCATTCTGCTGGTCTGTTTTAGGCTATGGTAAACAAACACTCTTCCATCTCAACAAGAAAGCTTACAAGTGCACTGAATCTGCTCACTCATCATAAAAGTATGGTTGCAATGAGTGATTATGGGGACTTCCATAGAACAGTTAAGCGGCATATGCTGACCGCGGTTTTGGGCGCAAGTGCTCAGGTTTTTCTTTTCACATTACCATATTACTGTAACTGATGATATCATCTAGTCTGCTTTTGTGCACCATTATACAAGTGTAAATTGCTAGTTTAGCCCCTCTGTTTTTCAACTTTAGTAGTTTTTAGCCCCTTTGTTTCAATTTTTGTTAGTCCCTGGCTCTTATAAGATAAGGACAAAAACCGCTACCATTGGATGTAATTGCTACAACTGTATAAGCTACGGGCTATAAAACAATTAAACACAACTTAATGTTTGGGTTTTTCTGAGTATAATATTGAAATTAAATTCATAAACAAGAATATCTCACCACAGTCACAGTTCACTGCAATATAAAACAGACTATCTAGTTACCAAATTAATCACTATAACCATTGTGCATCAAAAGTCATTTTTTTTTGTCTATTACTCTATTTTATTCATAATGTTTTTCAATATTTTTTGGGACAAGGCTTGGATGTTGTTATTATTGTTGTACTTCTTTTATGTATCTTCTCTGTTACTTGCTTACAACTTGGAAATGAACTTCTTACATATTATTGCAGAAACAATATCGCATCCATAGAGACATACTAATACACAACGTTTGTTGTGGATTACAAGATGAGCTCAAGAAATATCCTCAGGAAGCAGTGAACCTTCGGAAATATTTTCAGTCAGAACTTTTCAGATTGGCACTAAAGCAAGTGAGTTATTAACATTTCGCTCCATTTTCAACTCCATAGGAGGTTTAACACTTTACCAGACACTACATTTTATATTAAAAGCAGTTGTGATTACATTACAGGGAATCGGAAAGGATTTAGATTCTGTATATGTAGATGAGCTTGCAAGTACAGTGTCAAGGGATATGATGTATAAGTTCCTAGTGGCAGATTGTATGGAGGGTGCAATTGAGGTTGACTGGAGAGATTTCTTTCCATATCTCAAATGGGCTCCTAATGGAAGGTTCGAGAAGAAAGTCCGGGAAATACAGCTTCGTAGGGATGCAGTAATGAAGGCACTCATAAAGGAACAGAAAAAACGTATAGAATCGGGGAAGGTAGTACAAATACTTGCAAGCCCTCCTATCACATTATCAAATCTTCTATTTCTATTAAGACATGTTTTATCTTAAAAGTCAACAAAGTCAACCTGATAGTATGAGGAGCTCAAAGTCTCATACAGTCATACATCATTTTATTAAATTTCATATATAGCTGATAATGAGACTTTTTTATAATAATTTCAAAACTTGAACCCATCCGTATTTCAACCAATGGATTGTAGCTGTGTGTATATATTTGATTATAGTGAATTGAAAATATTAAAACACGTGACGACAATCCAATGGTTGGTACATTATAGATATATACTCGGCAGAATACATTTCGGAAAGGAAGATCTTAGCACTATGTACCAATAATGGTCGTATCATCACTTTGTACTAATCTTCAATCTTCATATGCTAACACTAATGTCAATTCATATGCTCATATAAATGAAGTATTATTTCTTCCTTTTTGGGATGGGGAGTCTTGGCGCACTGGTTAAGGTGTTCCTTTATTACCGAGAGGTAAGAGGTTGAAGTCTTGGGAGCAGCCTCTTGCCAAAATTTGAGGGAAGGTTTGCCCATTATACACCCTTATGGCCTTATTGCAGGACCCTTCCCCATGCTTTTCTTTGCGGGTTAGGGGTGCCTTCATGCACCGGGATGCCTTTTTTCCACTTCCTTTCTGGTTTGTTTTATGCCTAACTATTTGACCACATTGTGCCTTGATGACAGGAAATAAACTGCTTTCTTGACTACTTGCTGTCAGAAGGAAAGACATTAACCGATAAACAAATTGAAATGATTGTGTGGGAGGAAATTATAGAAACGTCGGATACAACTGTGGTGGCCACAGAATGGGCTATGTATGAACTAGCCAAAGATCCTGAGCGACAGGTAACTCCATTTCCATGTGTTTTTTTATCCCTAGTGGCATGTCTGTTTCATGAAATATTCTTTTATATATAATGAAGGAATTTTTTATATTATTTTTTCTACTGTGTAGAATAAACTGTTTCATGAAATTCACGGTGTATGTGGGTCTGAGAAAGTAACAGAAGACCATCTGCGCCAGCTTCCTTACCTTTCTGCTATATTTCATGAAACATTGAGAAAGCATGGCCCTGTTCCTGTTATTCCTCTTCGGTATGTGCACGAGGATGTAGAACTTGGAGGCTATCATATTCCTGCAGGAACCCAGGTAACTAGACATAATAAACGTGAAGTATAACTATTAATTTAAGCTCTTAGTTTAGTCACACCGCTCAAATATAAAGATGCAAACTCACAAGTCACACCTAAAGTTTTAGGTTACTCCTGTTAGCTTGATCTTTTAGGGGTAGAATTCCAAACCTGAATATTCATTCATGTGAAAATGTTATCGGGCGTAATATATTTTATGTTTCTGATTAGTTCTGGTCCGTTTTGATTTGAACATTACGGACAATGTCTATTTATTGCATGGAATATAGTACTTGGTTTGGTCTAAAATGATTAAAATAAGAATAAGTACAATTAATTAGCAAATAGAGTAAGGTAAATGGGGCTGGAATTGCTGAAATGTGAAATGTTTATATTTATAAAATATCTGATAAATAAAATAAAGGATGGCTAAGTTGGTCTTCTTCAGCCACTTCAACCATTTCGGCCGTTAGCTACCTTCAATGTTACTCTTTCTCAGTATTATCCAATTCATCTGATGATTCAAGAAAATATTGATTGGGAAAAAATCTTGCTGATGAGCTGAAAAAGGCTGCCGAAAGGCCTCCTAACTGCTATACGGTTGTTTGTTAACTGTAGGCTTCTTTTTATGCAGATTGCTATAAACATTTATGCATGTAACATGGAGAAGGCACTATGGGAGAGCCCCGGGGAGTGGAAGCCGGAACGGTTTCTTGAAGGAAAGTATGAACAGAATGATTTACTTAAGACGATGGCGTTCGGAGGGGGTAAGCGGGCATGTGCAGGTGCTCTACAGGCATGGACAATTTCCTGCCTAGCAATCGCGAGATTGATACAGGAATTCGAATGGAGGCTTGAGAAAGAGGAAGAAGAGAACGTTGCTACAGTTGGTCTTACTTCCTACAAACTTTCTCCACTGCTAGCAAACATCAAGCCAAGAAATTGATGTCCAAGATTCACTTAACATAAAATAAATAAAAATCTTGTGCATTAACTTTCCCTTTGTTTGAGTAAGTTCCTAATTATTACTACCTCTGTCCGGTGGACTTTGCCAAGTGAAAAGTAGGGGAGAAATAAGAATAGTAAAACTGTGTGGATGAGATTTGTGCAGAGGAGACAGAAATGTGCAGAACCACAAATTAGTTGCTTTAATAGGTAAGTGGCAAGTTTATTGGGACAACCAAAAAAGAAAAATTGGCAAAGTCCAATGGTTAGGAGGGAGTAATATATAATTATATACGGAGTTTAAAGCAAAGAATTAACTGGCTCGGAACCAAAATGAAGAAAATACTACTCCCTCCGTTCCTATTATAACTTCCAACTTTCCTTTTTCGTTCGTTCCAATTAAAACTTCCACTTTCCCTTTTTGATAAAAAATTTGTGGTTCACAACAATTCTTACACATTTCTCTCTCTTCTGCACAACTCTCCACCACACGATACCCACTATCTTAAATTGTGTGTCAAATCTATTTGGAAGTTATAATAGGAACGGAGGTAGTACTACCTCCGGTCTTTAATTAACTTTACACTTTCCTTTTTGGGTCGTCCCGTATTAAACTTTACACTTCCTTATTTGCCTTATTTGGCAAACAAATCTACACCAAACAATACAAAACAGTGTCAAACAGTGTCAAATAGTGCCAAACAGTGTATTTTATAGCAAAGTCAAATTTATTTCCTTAATATGTGTGAAGTCAAACCGTAAAGTTTAATAAGGACCGGAGGGAGTATTTTTTTTGTCATGGTAATAATTGTTATATGAAACTTATTTCATGTAATCATGTTTACTAAGATAACCATCATAATTGTTATACGTTAACTTTATTATTCTAAATACAAAAACCCACAAATAAAGATCTTGAACGAACAATTCAGCTCTAATGAATCGCTACTTCTCCTATCACATACGTAGTTACAGTCATCGGTCTTCAGTTTGTCTTTAGATCTTAGGATAACATTCAATTTGATTAATTAAATCGGTTAAATCTGTTCAAATTATGTAAACTTTTGTTGCATTGGCTGAATTTGGTCAATTATGGTAAAATTATATTTAAAATATATTTAATCAATCAAGTTAAGAAAAAATAATATGAAGTATAAATAATAGCTAAAATAGTTTTGTGTGTCAAAATAAGTGTCTCACTTCCATTTTAGGAAATAATTCCACCCCAAAAGTAGTTAAAGTACATTTTAATAAAGTAAACCTAATAGAATTATTAGAGACTTAGTATTGTACTTTACATTAAACTCTCTTTAATATAAATATATCTGTCAGGGCTCCTTAGGGAGTAACCTTTTCCATTATTCTCACATGGTATCAAGAGCACTATAATTTTTTCGATTCTCTCACTAAACCCTAGCACCGCCGCCTTCTCTCCTTCGGCGTCGCCACCCTAGCGCCACCGCCTCCTTCTCTCCTTCGGCGCCGCCAGTCAACTTCAACATGTCAACAGCCGCTTCCGCTTCCTTCAGCACGTCGACAACACCGGGCCAGCCAACCGCCGATGCGCCGATCACCTTAGTCACCACCACCGGCGCACCTCCCTCTTTTGGATCGCTGCCGGTAATCTCCTCTGTCTCTTCCGGTGTGACTTTCTCCTCCAACTTTGCATCACCAAGTTGGGTATCTATGCCATACTCTTTGTTTCAGCATGTACCACCGGTGTTCCCTTGATCGGCTCCAATTCCCGTGCAGGCTGTCCCTCTAGAGCCGCTGCCCCTCTCGGTCGGTCCTTCCTTTGCTGGCCCCACGTTCGTTGGCTCACCTGGTGTATCCTCCGTTGTTCCTCCCTCTCGCACACCTGCAGGCAGCCCGGCCGGATCACTTCTCGCTGATTTGGCTCAAACAATATCTCATGTGGCCACCAATGTTACAAATATTGTGACTACTAAACTATTGGCGGTAGAAGACTACACCACTTGGAGGAAACAATTCGAATCATTTCTAGTTTCACAAGCTCTACTGGGCATGGTTGATGGCTCCATTCAGGTACCCCCTGCTTTTTCCATAGATGCTCTTAACCGTCAAACTCCCAATCCTGAATTATATGCTTGGTTGAGAATTGATCAAACCATCCGTTCATGGTTATTTGCAACCCTATCTAGGGATGTTCTTATCGATGTGCGTGATTTAAAACATTCATATGAAATTTGGGAGCGGTTAGAGTCTCGGTTTATGTCTGTCAGTTTAGCCAGATCTATGGAATTAAAGCGCTTATTTAATAAAATTAAAAAGAAACCTCATCAGTCCATGGATAATTATTTGCGAGAAATTAAAACATTAGTTGATGATCTTGCCACAATCAATTGCCCTGTGCCTCCTCGTGAAATTTTAAAGACTATTATTATGGGACTGGGACCTGACTATGAATCTTTATTCACTGCTGTGTCATTATTTGGACAAAAATTCCCGTTTGAGACTCTCCATAATCATCTTCTTGAGTTAGAGCAGCGGGTCCTTTATCTCCGCTCCCAGGAGTCCTCGTCCTTCCATCAGGCATTTGGCGTGGTTGTCTCCTCCCGGACAGTCGCCTGGCCAGCAGACGAATCAGCCACATTCAGGGTCTACGCACCCGGTCGGGCAGCAGGCATACCCGGTCGGGCAGCAGCGATAGTTTGGCCCTCCACTGCGCGGACGAGGTCGCGGTCGTGGCAGAGGCCGCGGAGGCAGGGGGCGCGTTGCTCATCTTCCCATTTGTCATGTTGGTGATGTCGCATTACCTACGTCTGGTCGTCCTCTCACTTTAAAATCTGTTTATCATGTGCCTCAGTTAAAATATAATTTAATTTCAATTAAAAGGCTTTGCGTTGATAATAAATGTACTGTAATTTTTGATAAAAATTCTTTTTTGATTAAGGACAAAGCAACGGGGGCACTGCTAAACTTGCAAGTGTACAAGTGCCGATATAGTAATAAATTCCGGTAAAATACCGGGTCGAATCCACAAGGAAACGTTGTTTAATTCAAGTCCGAGAGTAGATAACTTTAAATGAAGAAATGAATAAAGTGCATGGATTTGGAATTGTGTGTTATATTTTTGGTTTTTCACTTTTGTTCAACAAGATAATCGTTAACTAACTTTGAGTTCAAGATAAATGATAACAACAACTAAGGCTTCGGGAATCACTTAAATGCTTAAATAGGGTTGAATATTAGTTCTTTGCCAATAATTATGAATACGATGTCGCTAATATATTCTCTACTCCGGTTAAGGCAGCAAGAGCATGGTTTTCGTTACATGTAAGTCCCGTTACGGCTTACATTCATCTACCGAAAACCCCGTTGAATATCAAGACATCACACCCGTATCATATAAGACCGGATATATTTCTATTCTCGGTACTATATATGTTTATCCTTTAATGTTCATAGTTTAGACTTCAACGTTAATTGCAAGTATAAACTAGATTTAACATACTTCTATGTTGTACACCATAGTCATAAACAATCAATATATAAAGGATAAATCACAATTTATTGGTTTAGAACTTTTATCAAACACCTAGTGAGCATAGAAGTTCATCCCTAGTCTTAGCTAAGAATTTAGCCTCTAATGCTCATATTAATTACAAAAGTGTAACTAAGAACAAATAAATACAATAACGTACAAGAAAAATTACCTAGAACCAATTGTAGAGGAGAGAAATAGTTTCTTCTCCAAAGAACTTGAAGAAAAATAGCAAGAACAAAATATAAAAGCTATGAATTAATCTATGGAATTGGATGTTTTTGTATGATGAATTGAGGGCTTTATATAGGCTAAGAAATGGCATATTTTGGTCTATTCGAGCCCAACAATTCGTCATGGAAGAAATATTTGATGAAATCATGAAGAAGGTGAAGTTTTCCCATCAAAAATATGGAGCACGTCGTTGTGTTTTGTGCAGAATCAGGTCAACCCGGCGCCGGCCTCAGGCCTACCCGGCGCCGGTTTATATGTTATTTGCAGCTTGTATCTGAAAACCCGGGGTACCCGGCGCCGGGCCTAAGGCCTACCCGGTGCCGGGTAAGCTACTGGATAGCGAGTTAATTGTGCGAAAGGATGGGCCGGCGCCGGCCATAAGGCCTACCCGGCGCCGGGTATGCCCAATTTTGCCTTTCTTCGCTTTTCGCTCCGTTTGATGCCCATTGTTGATCCCGAAGTGTTAGTTCTTGGTGTCTTTTCCCCGTTGACTCCCGTTTCTTCATTTTTGACTCCTAAGTGCGGTTTTGCTCAAATTGGGATTTTTACCTGTTTTATCTTTGAATGTTTGTACATATAATCAGCGCTACCTATATAAAGTATAGGTAATTATTGTGCTTATCAGCTACCAGTAGTGGACCACTTTATCCAATCAGTCTGCCGTCATCATCACCATTAGTTTTTGCTTCTGTTTTAGCTTCTGGCCCTGTGTGGCACCGCAGATTAGGTACTGCGGTGATAGTATTTTACAGTTTCTTAAGAGAAAACAATTCTTATGTAGTCATACTCCCTTTACCCTTGAGTGTGTGGCTTGTCGATTAAGAAAATCACAATGTTAGTCTTTTATGGATGCTAGTCATAATTCTGTTTTTCCCCTTGAAATTATTCATTCTGATGTGTGGCAGTCACATGTGTATTCAAATTTGGGATTCAAGTATTATGTGTGTTTCATTGATGATTTTTCTCGTTATACTTGGATATATCCCATGTGTCACAAAAGTGAGGTTTTTATGCACTTTAAAAAATTTAAAGCTTTGGTTGAAAATCTTTTCAATCGGAAAATTAAAATTTTTCAAAGTGACGGGGGAGGTGAATTGGTAATCACAATATGCAGCAATTCTTTTCTGCTAATGACATTTATTTTCAAAAATCTTGCCCTGACACATCTCAACAAAATGGGGTTGCTGAGCGGCCGCAAGCATCATCATTTAGTTGAGTTAACTCGGGCCATGCTTCTTGAGGCTTCGGTTCCGAGTCACTATTGGGTTGATGTCATCTTCACTGCTGCATATATTATTAACAGATTACCCTCTCCTACCTTAAATGACTTTTCTCCGTACCAAAAACTTTTTAACCTTGTTCCAGATTACTCCTTTATGCGAGTATTTGGTTCTGCCTGCTATCCAAATTTTTCGGCCACCTCAGCTAATAAATTATCACCTCGTTCAGTTCAATGTGTTTTTCTTGGCTATGCATCTGGTTATAAGGGCTATCGTTGTTTGGATCCTATCACAAGTCGAGTCTATGTTAGTCGTCACGTTAGGTTTCATGAGAACACATATCCATTTAAAACCCTCTCATCTACTCCATCGCATTCTATTTTTACAACACCGTCTCCTATGAATCTCACCGATATAACTCTTGACCCACCTGCCCAATCCACTACCACAATCATGGCTGCACTACCTTCAAACCCCCATCCCCACCTCGGTCACCCCTCATTCCTACCACTCCGTATGTATCATCGCCCTATACATCCTCCCCCATGTCCACAACCAGCCCGCCACCATCACCTGCTCCTCCCGTCACCATACTTCGTCCAGCATGTCGGAGTCAGCTTCGGCCGACTATGTCTCACCCGAAACCACCTCACCTATGTCCACTACGGTAGTCAACCAGCATCCTATGCAAACCCATGCTAAGTCGGGAATTTTTAAGCCTAAAACCATTTTTAATTTAAGTACGGTTATTACTTCTGCAAATCCTACATGTTTTACTGAGGCAAATAAACATTTAAAATGGCGTGAGGCGATGGTTGATGAATTTAATGCACTCATTAATAATAATACGTGGGACTTGGTGCCCTTTGATAACTCTAAGAATATTGTTGGGTGTAAGTGGATTTATAAAACTAAATATCATTTTGATGGATCCTTAGAGCGCCATAAAGCTCGATTAGTTGCACAGGGTTTTAATCAGCAGGCAGGTATTGATTTCTCTGAAACTTTTAGTCCTGTCGTAAAACCCACCATTGTTCGTATTGTACTTACTCTAGTTGTTTCTTTTGGGTGGGCTATACGACAACTTGATGTTAAAAATGCTTTCTTACATGATAATCTGACAGAAGAAGTTTAAGCAAGCTCCACGGGTCTGGTTTCATAGATTTAGTAGATTCCTTTTACTACACAATTTTTCCTGTAGTAAATCTGACAATTCTTTGTTCATTTACCGCCAGAATAATACTATTATTTA